GTACACTCGATTCTGTATCCCTCGTTATCTATCAAATTTGTTGTTGTCAATCATTTCTTTGTTTTTCGAGACTCAAACTCCACGCCACTCTGGCAGCCAGAAAACTCCAAAACATCAATATCAATTGTTGAATTCTGTTTGTGGTCACATGAATAACACCCATAAAACAGATTGGAACACTTCATACTGACACTCTGTTACACTTTGAATTCGTCGACTGGAAAGTCAATGTAATTTCCTTCAGTCTTGAATACCATTCGATTGGATTCGCAGTTTATTGCTCTTTTAATGCTCAATGAAATCGTTTTTGAAACACGTTTATTGTTATCATCCAACACCAATCATATGGGGGCAAAATATACAATTCAATGATTTGTATATTGTGCTTGTATAAAATTATGCCACGTTTGAGCCGAGACATATTACATGGATGCATTATGTGCAACAACAATCAAAAACCATCGGTTTGATGTAATCATTGGGTCTATTTTTGTGACATCATTAGTGACTTAACTGTTGCAGATTCTCTTGGTATTTCCCAAGCGCCGATATCAAACCGTACTGTATTTCCCATCACTCTTCGAAACTCTACATGGAAGTGCTGCAAAAAGAAAATGTAACACAGTCAAGTCTGTTCGAACAGCGTCTTTGATGTTGAAGTGTCTCGTGTATAGTGTTGAGTTAGTGCTCATCAAAGAGATCATCCAAGGTTTTATCTCGCTAAGGCCACAACCATTGAGATCTATGAAGAATAATCAACCATACTTGACTCCAAACCATTTAATCTGTTTATTATTGGTGTTGTTTGTTTATCTGTAGTCTCAAAAAAGACACTTTCGAGGCGTTTTCTGGGGTAAACGACGAATTTTCATTATAGACTATTTTACCGACATTTCGAAAAACTCTTTCTGAGTCTATGCTTGTTGGTGAAAAGAGAGATACTTCCTGGCAATATCATATAAATCGGCGTGTTTGTTTAGTTTAATACAGTTTTGCCAATATTCTTCGGGACTTTTACAGTTTTCTCCGTTTTCTATCGCACCATGATCTTCTAAATACAATCTAATTGCTTTATCAATTGGTGATTCTTCTCGTCTTTGTACTGCATCAGTTGTCATCATTGGAATTGCCCAATTGGCAAATTCAATATGAAAATGTGAACTCGAATTTAAAAAAGCGGAACTACTTTGTGGTGTTATATTACTTATGCCACTCAATTCAGCCTTCACTCTTTGAACACAGGTATTGATTTGTGTTTCAAACAAATCACCATCACGAGTAATAGGAAAAAAGAAAGCTGCTAAAATATATTCTTCTTTTTGAGAAATAGCGCGCAGTCTTTTTTCGAATTCAGATCGAGCTATCATTTTCCAGTCCTTTCCAAAAATAGTCCCAGCTTCAATTTCCATAAAACCACTTTCCGATTCTTCTGCATAATCTTCATCTATTTCACTATGTTTTAATATATTTTTTAGAAAACCTTCCGGTTAGTAAATAGAAGAGGAAATTGTATTCCAAATGTCTCTAATAGCTCCCACAACATAACACGAAGTAATTTTTTGGTTCGCCGCCAATTTGTTGTAAAGATCGTCCATTGCTTTTGTGAGTGAATACATTTCTTTGGCCCCTTTCCACCCCTCTTCATTGAACTGAATCCCATTGTTCAGTTCTTTAACACTCTTCTCTCTTTTTAACAATTTGCTAAAAGAAAGGTAACATGAATTAAACCGCGTTTTCGTATAAGTCGCAAGACATCCAGGCTCTTCACAATTTTTTGAACACAACTCTTCAAATATTCTTTGTGTTTTTTGAGAAAATTGGAGTGTTTTGGCCAAAGAATTAATATTTTTCATGAAGGCTTTCATCCCGGGTATTTGTTTTATCACAGCAGAAAACAAATTATTCGATGTGTGTACAACACAGTCAGTTTTGTTTCCATTAATTTCAGACAATTTATTGTTATTTGATGCCGAATCAGCAACAAATTGTATGTTGTTAACATTCAAATTTAAATCTATAACAATTTGACTCACATATGTTTTAATTTCCTTTCCTGTATGTTCTACATTAAAAGGACTCATATTCAAAACTTCGTTGTGTGACTCAAATTGTTTATCGACATAGTGGAGAGTTGTTGTTATATAAGAATTATTATATTTACTCATGATATCTGTTGAAATAGATCCTGATAGATTATTGAAAACGACATCTTCTTTAATTCTTTTTTTGAGATCTCCTAGTTCTCTATCGTACAATTCAAAAAGACAAGTTGTTCTAAATGTTTTTTCGTCTGACAACACAACTGACTTATCGAGAAAATTCAGTAACTCAACTAAAAAGGGATTTCGAATTTGACTAAAAGGAATTCCAACAGATGAAAAAAATCTCATCAACATTATGTTAACCTCTTTATTTCTTTGTGACATTTTTGGAAACAGTTTTCTCCTTTTTTCTTCATCTTTTAATTTGTCGTAATGAAAATTAATTAAATGATTTTTTGCTGATGAAGTAGACTGTGTGACCATGTTATAATTTAACATTTTGTTACAGAGAAAACATTTTATAAAAAAGGAACAACCTACACATGTGGGTTCTCCCTTTGATCGGTATCACCAGGAAGACACTCGGGGTGTTCTTGGCATGGCAAATATACAATTTTCATGTAATTCCAAATAAATGAACGAATCATTATTAATTGTAGATCCAAACACAAATAAATATTATATAGTTTCATATTTTAGTTTTTATTGTTTAAATAAATTATAAAAACAAATGTTTCATTTGTTTAGATAATAGTATATTTTAATATATATATATATATATATATATATATATATTCAAAATATCAAGTTAATAAGTAATTTATTTTGTGAATGTATTTGTTTTTAATAAAAATAATAACATTTTCATATTTAAATTTATAATTATTGAATATATTTTTATAATTATTTATTTTTTTTATTATATAATAATACAAATAACTTATTAAATAAATAATATCGTTTGTTGTTTTTATAAATAATGTTTATAATTATTTTTATATTTTTTTATAATTATTAAAATGAATTTTATTACTGCCACTAAACTCATTTAACCATTAAAAAAGTTTGGCCATTTTTCATTTGAAATTTTTTTACGATGACAATAATCTTCTTTTTTTTACTAAATTTTGATTTTTTATTTTTTTGAGACTAAAAATTTAATTCGATTTTTTGTTTTTTATGTTAAAAAGAACTTAAAAACAACACTTTTAAATTAAATAAATTAAAATAAGCTGAACTTAAAATAATGTCTCCACGTTTACTAATTAAGACAAAATTATCTTTTTGAAACAAAACCTTGGAAATAAAAAAAATAATGGCAAAAAAATTTTCTTATTTTTGATGACTAAAAAATATGTGATTTTAGCGATCGGTCCCTAGGTATATTGTTTACTTTAGATTAATACAAACCAAAATAAATTTAGAACAGAAAACCGTTGCCGGTTTGAACACAGCTCATGTTTTTCAAAAAATAAATAATTATTCCTAATACTATTTTTTAAAAGAAAATAATTGCCAACAACCCAACATTGATTAATTTTCCCTACTGTAAATGATAAAACACGTTTAAAAATAAAATATTTTAAATTACAATCAAAAGTACCCTTACCAAAAAAAACATTTGCCATAATTGTTTTTTGAAAAAAGTTGTTTTTTTAGCCACTGTTTGTGCGTCCCCATATCACCCACTTTCCTTGTCCGTGCTGTTTGGACGCTGATGTGGTTTCCCCAGAGCCAGGGGGACTAAGAAAGTTGATGGAACGGTTGCACAAACAAACTGTTTATCTGTGTCTTCATGAGCCTTCTTTTCAATGCCACGTCTCACATGTTATTTATTGACTTGAGTTGAATTATTGGTATTTTTTGAATTCGGGAACCTAACCTAATATCTTCCCAGTTTCTTATTATTATAATTTTAATTTAAAATATAATTCCTAATAAATAATCTATTTTTAGGGGTAATCAATACAATTTACCAACCAAAAGAATTTAAAAAATTACTCAACAAAACCAAATATAATTATTGGCAAATTGTCTTGCTTATTTTTTATAATTTTATCGATTTTTTGATATTTTTTACAACACTGAGATTTGTGAATATATAAAACGCATAGTCAGAAATGATTTTAGTGTAACGAATGTAATCAATTTTTAAAGTTTGTTTTAATTTTATTAAAAAAGTTTTTAAAATAAAACAATAAATTTAAAAAAATTAAATAACAATCAAAAATAACATATTTTTGGTCAATTAATAATATATCCAGACCGAATTTATCATATTAAGTTTATTAACACATATAAAAAATATGGATTAAATCAGAGAAGCGCCCCATTCGACAAAATACTTTCCAATTGGTCTTTGTCTTTTTTCAAGTTCTTCAACACTTTTCAATAATAAACCATCAGCTTCAAAAAATTGAAGAAACACCCGTATTCCATTTTCAAAGCCGCTTATTGATAACTTTGCCTCGTTTTCATATTGAACATCACATACAGTGATTCCTATTTTCTTGTATTTTACAAGTGTTTTAACCCAATACACAATAAAGTCGTTTTGCTCTCTCGAATTCAGTCCAAGTCTTTCAAGCACTTCTCTCACGCCTTCTATGTTATTTGCGACATACTTTTGACCATCAAAGGTTGTGTGTGTTTCTCCCTCCCAAAATAAATATTCATATTTCTTACCATTTACTTCGATTATTAAATTATCATCTTCTTTGTGATCTTTTAAAACTTTGTTGTGTTGTTTTGACGCGTAAAAAGCACTCCAAACGCACTTCTTGTTGTGTTCATCGATATATTGTGGTGTTGGGTACAAACACGAAAAAGTAGTGTTGTTTAGTTCAATTTGGATGTCAACTTTTTGTTTTGAATTTGTTTCTTCAGACGCATTTGAGTCGTACAACAAAATGACTGGCTTTTCGAGTGGTGATAAAGCGAGAAGTACAGTTGACTCATTGACAATCCCAACGTCTTGCAATTTAACATCATTTTGAAGTAAATTTTTGTTGAATACAATTCGCTGTCTGCATGTTGGGCAATATTCAGATTTTTCAATTTCGGTTTTGAGGTCTAAAACAGTTGCCAAGTTATGTACATAAACGACTGTTGTTTTAACAAGAGTTTGCACATTGATTTTCATGTAATGATATACTCGAGCATTAAATGTTTTTTCTATGAATATTGGGTCTCCGTGTGTGTACACGTGCAACGTTTCAAGTTGAGTAAAATGTCGCAAAGTCTTTTCAGTAAGTGGAATTGGGTTGTAATTTAATTTAGTAACAATGTTATTGTACTTTTTGGAAACACTCATCACCCGAATAAAATCATCGAATGATTGAAAGTACTTACAGACTAACATCATATAAAAAGAATCAAGAGTTGATACCATTATGATTATAAAGTTTTTCTTATTGGTTTTATATTGTTTTTCATCAAAAACAAAACAACAATCAGATTGATTGGTTATAAATTTGGAAAAATTACTGGTTTAAAAGTAAAAAAACGATGAAAGACGAATCCAAATACTTCAATATTAATTTATTTGAGAAGTCTGTCGAATGAGGTTGTCCATTTGACAAATTGTACACAAAATAAGTTTAAAAAACTGGGAATTAGGAAAAAAAACGTGAACCCCCAATAAAAATATGGAACAATGTTTTTAAAGTGTTTTGAATAGTTTTTCTATATATTCATGTTTTAATAGTTCAAAAAATCTGACAAAGTTAAAGAAAGGACAAAGTTTTACACTGAAATAACAAATTATTATTAATTATATTTTTTTAATTGAAATAATGATATCATATCAATGTTGGTAATAAGTCGAAAAATTTTAAATTTTTTATTTTTATTAAAATTATAAATTGTTAAAAGTTAATGTAAAAATACAATTAAAGTCAAAGGTGTTTATTTGTCGTGAACCCAGCAGAAAAACGTATCTATTTGTCGTAAATGAGTGAATTTTGTAAAAATTCTTTTTTATATCGACAAAAGTTACATATTCGAAAATAAAATAATTAATTGTCGTACACCAAAATAATTGGCCAGTTGTGCGACAATAAAGCAAGTTCGACAATTATAATTACTACAAATAGACTCCTTTGACTGTATATTGATTCATGCATAAATAAGACAAATATCATTTGAGTTCATCGAAAGTTATTTTTAAGTTTATTATCTTATATACTTAACTGTATTTA